GAAGCTTTATTTGTTCGCTCATTACTGTAATTGTAAACGTTTTAGAAGTTGATGGTACGAATAATAAATTACAACAATACGTCAATTAATTACGTGATCGATTTTTTGAAAGAATGTTTATGGAGTGAATAAAATTATGAGATTCGTGAACATAAATCTGGCTTAACGTTTTGAATGAGTTTCCTTCAACGTTTTACAAAACAATTAAATTGCAACAATAATGTATTTGTGTTTGTTTTTAGTCTGTAGCATTTGTATTTCGAGAATGTTTCAAACTCTTCTAAATTGTGAAACATAATGTGTTGATTCCATTAAAAAAAATATTTGCCCTGTGACTGAGCTCACTAATATTCATAATTGTAAATAAGTTCTGTTAATCAATGAAGGAAAGATATGTAAATGATATGCAAATTAGCCCCGGCGCTATGCATTTTTTCTGGGGAGAACCCTGGGTGTCATAATGAGGCAGGTAATCAATGCGTTCCATGGTGGGTGCTCCAAGCTCTTGGTTCATATGATTCAGTACATACAGAGTATCCCCACCTTCAATCAAATTTTTGCCGACAATACAAACACGGCTTTGATTGACGGTGAAAATAAATATTCATTGAATTTGCAGAATTGATCTTGTCCAAGTTACACTATTCTGTAAGGTGTTAGTGAGGTCTGACGTTGTTCACACCTACTTGTCGGGCAACATTGCAAGCTGTGGCTCCAGCCACATGTGAAAAAAAAATTTGAGTAGGAGTCAAATGTGAAAAATGTACATGATATTTTAACGGAGATTAAAAATATTGAGAAAATCAACAAAATCATTGAGACGCATACGATACATCCAATTTTAATTATTGTCTGCACATTGTTTTTGTACACCCTTAAATGTGGCCTGCGATTGGTTCAATTTTCGTATGGTTGAATTGTCGACCGCCAATCAGCACCAGCATTACAAAATGAACAAAATCAAATGTTATTGTTTTTGTCTTTTTATGTGTAAAAGTTTAAGTTTGGCCCCTAAATAGTTGCTTTTACATGTATGACCACAATTTATTTTCAAGGAACCAGCTGGCTATTTCATTTCTGACTTGTTAGATGCATTCCATGCAACATGAATTATTATTTGTTGTTTCCACAATTGTGAAGCAGTCATCACTTGCTGCTTCTTTTATTGATTCATTTGGGCTTTTAGTAGTGATGTGTTAAGCTACCTGTTCTTACCTTACCATACCCTACTCATTTTCTTGAGTTTCAGATTGAACCATGTCCGTGCATACTAATTTGATTCCTGCATGTAATAACAATGTTACTCGTGTTCCATGATATTACGCAAACAATTTAGATATCATTGATGACTTTATAGCCATTTATTTGGTGTTTATTTCACATTGTTTTATTATAACTAGTATTATTTCATTTCATTTTCAGGAAGCTTGTACTTTTCTAAAAAACAAAGTAGACACAAAAAATGTGCAATCACTTTTCTACGCTACAGCGGCCACCAAGGCACTTGGTACTTGTCAGGTAAGCAATTCATATCATTCTTACGAGTGATTCTAACCACCCTACCGAAAAAAATTCTGTTACTAACTCGAATTTGAATTCAGTATTTCATATTTACTCAATTAGTCGATCATGCACTTGCATAAATGACAGGTAAATCTGTGTTCAAATAGTTTTAGTTTTATTTTCATGCGTCATAAAATATATATAACTATTGGTTTACACACACTTCTATTGGAGATGTGCTACATACTGTAGAATACTTTATTTTCGCTTGGAATTTATTTTCGCTATTTTCGCCGAAGGGGTGATAATAAAATCCAGCGAATATATTTTTTTCCTACATTTCACATTCAACTCATCAAAAATCAGTGAAAATAAATTCCATAAAGAACGCCCAAAAAGCCTTTTCAGCAAAAATTAATTCCAACGAAAATAAAGTATTCCACAATTTAGTGCAAATATCGGACCTTGATCGTTATGACACCAAACTTGCATATAGGCCTATTTATGCCAACTTAAATACTGTGAAATGTAATTTTTTGCACTATAACAGGGTTCTCCCCACGCTGGACGGCGGTGGACGGCGCCGTCCAGCACTCAGAATTAGCGACCGGCACACAAACGGCAACAAATGCTCTGAGAGACAAAAGAATGTTTGAGAGGGCAATAAGCTTGGGTTGTGTCACCAATTAAAAAAAACAATGGGCGTAAAACTCAACTCAACGAGTTAGCGACGTAAGAGGCCCAGTGGCAATCGACACTAGTAAGTGTGGAACCCTACTTAGCATGGCGGTAACGCATAGAAAAGTGGATTACCGTACCCATATTTATACTGCCAGGGTGACGTCAAATATATAAAATCGATATCGGTAAAACCATTCGTCAAAATATAAGGTCAATGGTTAAAACCAAGTTAACGCCATGACTTGTAGTGGCAACATCGTCACCGCCGAGCAGAACAAAGGCAGCCATGCATGATCGGTAAACGACCAGCACAGCCGACATACCATCACAGACATTGTTGATCACCAAGAAGTTCAGACGAATGCTTGATTAAAGATGTGAATGTTTATATTTAGACGTATGTCACTATTTAAAGTTGAATTTCC